ACCCTTAGCAGGATGCAGCGCACCCTTCATGCGACTCGCCGAATATCTCACGGCGCTTCGCGCTTGGTGATGTGAGAGCCTGGTCCGGTGAGAACCCGGCGTGCTCCGTCCCGGCTTTGCAGGGATGCGAGGTCAATGGTCCAACGACTACGGCACGCACGACTTTGAGTACGCCCCCCACCCCCCTGGACCTCCCTCCCCCCTTGGTGTTTGCCATCGGGGTTTGGGTTTTCGTCGCTTGGCAACGACGCTGTACAACAAGCCGCCCCCCCCGGTGTTTGCCATCGGGGTTGGGTTTTCGGCGCTTTGCCGCGATGCTGTAAAACGAGCCGATCACTTGGTGAGCTCGGCAACCAGGTTTCCGGTAACCATGAATGGTGGTCGAGTAGATCATGATGTGCGGGGTCGAGAGCCCTCACTACGCGCAAGGGGGATGATCGCACCACGTTGTGTAAAAATGGTCAAGCACTCTCGAGGCAGGTACACAGTGCTTACAACTGTCTCTGGAAGTGAAAGCACCAGAAAATAAATCATGTTATACACAGCTGTCATCCGTAAGCAAGGAAGTAAGCACAAGATGCCGAACACCCTCAGCAGGATGCAGCGCACCCTTCGTGCGACTCGCCGAATAAATCACGGCGCTTCGCGCTTGGAATGTGAAAGCTTGGTCCGGTGAAAATCAGGCGTGCTCCGTCCCGGCTTGTAGAGATGCGAGGTCAATGGTCTAACGACACGGCATGCACGACTATGAGTATCCCCCCCCCCCTGGACCGATTTTCAAAAGCTCGATATATCAACAGCAGAAAGAGTGACGGCGCCGAAATCGGCGGCGTTGAAGCCGTCTCGTCGAGAGCTTGCTGAAATGTGTCGTTTTGGTGGCGGCGTAGTCGAGCTTTGAAAATCGGTCCAGGGGGTGTGCTATCTTGTGTCATATACGGTACTGAGGGTCCCGCACTAGTCCCTGATTGGCGCTACAACACAACCCAAGACAGCGACACATAAAACGATGCCATGGCAGTTACAGTAATAGCCGGCAAAGCAACCCGAAAGAGGGAGAGGAGAGAGAGGAAGGGAGAGAGAGAGGAAGCGAGAGAGAGAGAAAGGAGAGAGAGAGAGAGAGAGAGAGAGAGAGAGAGAGAGAGAGAGAGAACTTGGCACCAAGGACGTCGAACGACAAAGTATACAGCGTAACTCACCAACGGCTGGCGTTGTTGTTGTTGTTGGTGTCGTCGATCATGTTTGTGTTTTCAGCCGTACTGAGACTGACGTCTTTTCATTGGTCAGCCGGTTAGCGCGGTCGATGCTAAGAAGAACATCACACACACGTGCTCATGCATATTTTCGAAAACCGCCCCAATAAACACAAGTTTTCATGAAGGACAATACTTGGAAAAAAAAAAAACACACACACAACCTGTTGGGGGTCGAGCCTTGCCGGGACCCCGGGGAGGCTCGCCTGGAGCGTTTTGGGCGGCATGCTCTTCGAGTCCCGTGCCAGCTTGTATTTCATGTGGGTCATCGCTTCGACGGGGCAGTTGGACACGGAGGACCTGCGAAGAATGGAAAGGACCAAACGAATCTGATTGGCTGACAGGCGGAAGGCTGTGGTTGGACACCTCGTCAACGACCGGCCAAAGTTTACTTCAATCGGTTTGGCTGATGGCCGAAAGGCCGTGGCTAGACACCTGGAAAACGAAAAGGAAGGCCAACGTTTGCTGCAATCTGATTGGCTGACGGCCGGAAGGCTGTGTGATTGGGAGGATCTGCATTAAAATGAAAAAAAAGGATCACGCATGCATTATAATGATCGGATGACGAGAGGAAAGGTGTGGTTGGCTATTCAGGGCATGCCGTTGTGCGGGTCCACGGGGCCCCCACCGTACGTCCATACCTCCAGAGCCAAGGGCGGCAGTGCTGAAGACAGAGGTAGCTCGCCGGGCGGTTGAAGTGCAGGAAGGCGGCCACGATCACCTGGACACAACAAAGAGGCAGAAACGAGAAATACACAACACATTTGAAACATTTTTGAATATTTGTCCTCTAGCGCTGCCAATTTCTGCCAATTAAATTGCAAAAAGAGCGAAAAAGATTGGCCTTCGACATCACCACTTCAAAAAAATGAAAAAAAAATGAAATCCAACGACCACAAGGTTTCGGAAAGCGGAAAGCTCTCGACGAGACGGTTCCAACGCCGTAATTTTCGGCATAGTCACCGCTTGTTCCTGCCGAATAATCGAGCTTTGAAAATCGGTCCAGCAGGTGCGATATCTCACGTGTGCAACCGCATCATGGCCACCATGTTACAGAACGCGCCCGCACCCACGAACCCAGGAGCTAGGGAATCGAGGCTAAAAAAAAAAAAAACAAGACCTTGAGCACCATTGGTGAGCTCTGTTTAGAACAATTTTTCACAAAAGCCTACATAGCGACCATTCGTAGCATGACCCTAGGAAAACGGTAACAACCTAATCCTCGACCTAGGAACTACATGTAAGATTCCGAACCTCCGGCAAGAGTAGAGGCTCATCTTTCTTAACTGCGGGCGCGTTCTGTATCGGCAGAGTGGACGGCAGTACGCGTGTCTACCCGCGTCGTGTGGTGCGCGAACACGCCGCCTACTACGACGGATACTAGAGCACAAGGTGCGCGTGCGTTTGAACCCGACGGAAAGAACAACGGGAAGCAACAACTCCGCCAATACCAACAGCATATCATACTGGTACGGAGTAGCTCCGTCTTGGACTGATTGGAATACGGCGCACGCTACGAGAGGGAAAGCAGGGAATCCGTGCTCTGAATCAATTTTTCAATTTTTCGCTTTGGGAAACATCTCGACGACCCGGTTACAACCCCGCCATCTTCGACGCGGCCACCTTGCCGAAAATCGGTTCGGGGGGGTGGTATCTTACATCACCTACGGTAACATGATATTATTAGCTAGATATTATATGAGTTCCAAAGTTTGATATTATAGCCTATATAGCATGAAAAATATAGACAATACAATTACCGCACAATATCCAATCAATAAGCACCTGGCGGGAGAACATCCCCAGAGACAGGTGAGTGTCGTCGAACGTAGCTTTCATCCAAGAGAGCAAGCGGCCTCCCATCCACACCGGCAGCCGGCGCTGTTACAGTACGCGTCACGAGACGGATTTCCCACGGTTATATTCCTCGGGAAACGAACGGGGTTGAACATCAACAATTTTATCAATATTTTCGCCTTAATTCTTGAATACAACATACGACTTGTGTTGAGTGCATGGAAACCAGCAGCAATTATCATTGAACGCCGACTACACGAAAAAAAAAACAGGTGCAGTATCCCAACCCCCTTCTTCGCCATACTGTCCCTGGCCGACAAGGTTCTCATAGAGCACGACGGAAAAAGGGACAGTATATGGCCTTACAGTACAGTACTGTACCCTAGCTGGACGAAGAGCTTCTCATAGAGCATGCCAAAAGGTGCAGTATCCCGTCTTTCAGCACAGCACTGTACGTTACCTGTACAAATGTCTCCTCCTAGAGCACGATGAAAAAAGGTACATTATCTCGCCTTACAGTACCTGTATGAAAAGCTTCTCATATAGCACGACAAAAAAAGGTACACCATCCTGCCTTACAGTACAGCGCTTGTGTGCCTTACCTGGACGAATAGCTTCTCGTAGAGCAAGTCGACGCACTCCACGGACGACGGGAAGTGGAAGTTCTCCGGAGATAGCTGCCTCACCGCTGACGGAGAAAGCCTGTCCATCGGGAAACCCACGCGAGCCTGCGGCCAGTTGTGCAAAAGTGCCAACGACACAAGTTTTCCGAAGTTTTTTGTTACAGGANGGGGGGGGGGGGGGGGGGTAATTCAACATCCGAGTACGTAAGATGAAGTCTACGGCTGTTGTATGGATGTCGAATTTTTGTGCAAGCAACGCCGGAAAATATGGACTGCTGCTGCTGCTGCGCCTTTCAGCGCGAATGTATCGGCACCCAGCCGTCAACGCCGATAGGAAGTCGATGCAACAACAACAACAACAACAACAACAACAGCAACAGCAACAACAACAACAATAATAAACATCAGCATCGGAAAGAGCACAAACTCAACCACCCTCCACAAGTCATCATGTTCTCAGCACCAACCAAGCTTACCGAAGCGATTGCCACCAGTGCCATGAGAAGCGTCCTGTCACGGTGACCCCCCCCCCACCCCACTCACTGAAGGGATTGCCACCAGTGCCATAAGAAGTGTCCTGTCACGGTGACCCCTAACCGATTGACGGCGCCCCCAAACCGATTCACGGTGTCCCCTGACTGATTCGCGGGGACCCCCCCACACCCCACTCACCGAAGCGATTGCCACCAGTGCCATCGGCAACGTCCTGCCGAACCTTGTCACGGTGCCCCCTAACCGATTCACGGTGCCCCCGGTCCTCCCCTGGACACGTCGACTCTTGCAGGGAGGCTGCGCCAGGACGTTCAGGAGATCCCGGAGAACCTGTTTGATACCGATTCCGTGCCGAGGTGGGCAACATTTTCTGCTGATCATGAAAGGTCAAGGATGTTGTGTTGGTGTACTAGGTCTTGACACCGATCTACGGCGTCTGCTACGCGTGATATGCCGCAGCCCCTCAACGCTCTGCACATTTGCTCCGCACAAGATGCCCATTCCCTCTCGCTCTCTCTCTCTCTGGGCGAGGTTCACATTCGCGGGCACCGCCTCTACAGTATAGTGGGGGACCCTCTGTAGTGCGGGTTACATGGTGCGGGTTCCCGCTAGAGTGCGGGTGAAATCGCTTGGCACAGATAGAATATTCAAGACGGCGAACACATTGAATAGTGCGGATGCCCACTATGGTGCGGGTGAAATCGCTTGGCACATACCCGCACTGTAGAGGGCCCCCCACTATAGCTCGACGTACGTTTCAACGCTAGCTCGACGTACGCTTCACCAGCAGCAGCAACAAACAAACACGAAAACGTACGCTTGTGGAAAACCCTCCACCTGCGTGGATAACAATAGTTCTTCCCGTACATGTATGACTACCCTGGCGAGGATTACCGCAAATGAAACACAAAAACCCGTTCCACATGCTTGAGGAAGGCCACCGAAAGCGTTGGGCTAACAAGTGCTACATACCTACCTCGTACAGTCGTGCCTCGCTTTAACCCCGTTAGGGCTAGATCGCCTTTTGGGGACACTTTTTGTCCCCATCTGCGTCACCTGCTTTACCTCGCGAAGAATGGCATGATTGTTTCCTCCTTTGAACTACTTGACCAGAGGGGTGCCAGGGTACACGGGGACGACTTTAGTTTCGTGTGGATGCTTTGTAGAGTGGAGGAGTATAAGGGTAATGAACAGATCGAATCGCGAGGCGGTTACGCCGCGGGTTCAACAGCGAAGTTGCGCCGCGGCTGTTCACCCTTGGGTGGAAAGCGCTACCAGGGGCAAGCGCGGAAGAAGTACCTAGCCCACCGTTGATAGGAGGCACCGGGCAACCTAGGGCTTGGGTTAGAAGGCCTCGCTTTCCCTCTAGAGAAATAGTTTTAAAACCTCCTGTTGTTGCCCCGTTTACCACACTCCCGCCAGTTGCTGCATATAATCCCTATCAAACGTCCTCTCGATAATCGAGGGGACAATTCATAGGGATTATAGACAAGAGACGGCCCAGGTGGGAAGGCAGCTTTGCACTTGCACCCAGGGATGGTACTGTCTGCACCATCCAATCAGCAGGTGTCGTTCGCTCTTTTTACATTTCAGTAGTTTCGCAAGAACGCCGAATTTTCTGTGCGTGGTGGAGGGGTTCAGGACACCAAAATGAAGGAAACCCCCTTAGTTAAGAAAACTTGTTGATATAACACAAGGAGGAATATCAACCTTATGGACACTCCCCCGGCCCAAGGACACTATTTTTAAGCAAAAAAACATGAGTTTCCTTAACCGAGGTTCGACGGTACCGTACGAGGTGCGTCGTTTTCAACAGCAGCTGTGAACCAAACGCACGCCCACCTCCAATAAAAGCGCACCCTCAAAATCTTACAGTAGCATGGAAGCAATGACATACCCCGAAGGCAAAAACGAAAACGCATGCACGCACGGACCTGCTTGTCGAAACCTTCCACACCTTCGCGCAAGACAAAGAATGGCGTTGGGACCGTAACAAGCAGCAGCGAAACGAATTGCCACACCCCGAACAACAATCGAAAACACATGCACGCACGAACCTGCTTGTCGAAACCTTCCACATCTTCCAGAAGGACCACCACGGGACCTTGCCTTCGCCGCGCTGCCGCCGCTGCCGCTGCCCTGCGGGGCAATGAATATTTTTTGATCGACTGGTTTGGTGTGCTCCTAATGCAATCGGAGTTGGAGGAACGCGAGAGGCATCGTCACTCGCTTCGCTCGCAGGCACTTCACGGGCTTTTCGGCGTGGCGCAGAAGAACAGAACAATAAATTCAGAACAGAATGAATTCATCCAGGGACATCCCGCGGCTTTTTCTCTAACGCATACCGGCTTCTTGTCTAATCTTGTAACGTTGTGTAAAGTTGGATTGCAGTGAGCAGCCCGTTATAGTGGTGGCTTGAATAGTGGAACCGACGATGTAGTGGCACCAAAATCTCTCTTGTCACAATCTCAATATCCACATTAATTAACCCGACATATATATATATATATCGCATAGTGCACTGCCCTGAATGGTGGCGTGTTCTCATCTTGCCACTACATGCCGCTATGTCGGACTGCTTACTGCTCTCATGCAGGATCATTTGTATATCGTGTTGGTGGCAAAAATGTGTGCCACACCGCCGATTTTCAAAGGTCAGTTACGACACGACGGCGATGAGGATGTGTCAATAATCACACGGTACGATACGAGATGGTTCCATCGCCCCCAACCTCGGTGCTGTGGAGTCATGGTGCTTCGAAACTCCGTCCAGCAGGGGGTGTCATATCTTAAGTCACCTACGGTGTTTATGTGCGCCATGGGGTGTGCTATCTTACGTATTCGGCCTACAGTCATCTCTCGGTTAAGGCCGCCGCTTATTAAATAGGACACTCCCCCGGTTAAGGACAACTTTGTTATTCACAGACGTACAGTGACCCCGGTTGGGTCGTCTAGCTAGTAGAAGTGGAGGATAGGGGCCAGAGGGGCAGACGACAGAGTCCAATGATGGGAGAAAAACAAAAACAAAACAAAAAGCTAGTAGCGGATCGCACAATGTACAACATAAACAGGGGTATCATGTCCACCTTAAGGACACCGGCTTAAGGACAACTTTGTTATTCACGGGCATGGCGGCTCGCACAGTGTACAACATACACAGGGATATCGTATCAACCTTAAGGACACTACCCTGGCTTAAGGGCACTTCTTGTAGCAAACAACCACGTGTGTCCTCAGCCGAGGGGCGACTGTACCGTATTCAATATGCAATCATGCCGCACCAGCGTACCTGCGACCGGGGGCGCTTGCGTCGTCCGCAGCAGCGCCATCTTCTCCCCCCTCTTCCTCCCCCGAACACTTCGAAGTTGAAGTTGAAGTCGAAGATGGGATCGCGCAGGAGCTGTACCACTCTTCGAGGGCGTCCATGAACAGGGGACGGCGCGAACGCGTCCCCCCCCTGGCGTGGCACTGGTGGGAGGAGGAGAGACGTGCACGTGGGATGGATGAATGAAGGGAGCACGTGCACGCGAAAAAAATGAACATGCAACTGGTGTGTTGTGTGTGTTCGCCCGGTTAATTGTGGCGACAGTCCCCCAATTTTCGTGGTGGGACGTGCACTACACTCTTCGGTGTACGTGGAGTACTACACTTATTCAGTGCATGTTTCCGAATGCATAGTCTGCAACTACAAACATCCAGGGTCACACTGGAGGGCGTAAATAAATACGGGGCCCTCCCTCTGTATTTTTAGTGTAGTAGAGGAGACAATCGCAGCTCACTGACAGAGTTAACGCTCCACGTCAAAGCTACCGTTCACACGCTCACATTTTTCGCTCACTTTTTTCTTGTGCGTCGTACTAATCTGTCTGGACACTGAGCGCTGTGCCTCTTTAGGACGTTACCGGTAAGGCTGAAATTCCAATTGAGGAAAAATATTACTCTGGTGTCGTTACTGTTTGAGAAAAAGCCTGTTAATAGTTGTCCTGGACTCTTGTCCTGTGAACAGCAGCAGTGAATGTCTCTACTCTTTGTAACGAATAAAACGTGTGATCGTCTTCGGTCCCAATCCAAACGAGAGAGGCGGAACAAATCATTACCCTTGTGAACACCGTGGAGTGGCGGCACATGGAAAATCCACCCCCCCCATGGACCGGGGAAAACCCGGAATACATATCGCTCCGTCCCGGCGTGCAATGTTGAGATGCGAGATCAATGATCTAGCGACTACGGCAATGTCCTGGGCTCATTGTCTGTGGACAGCAGTGAGTACCTTGTTTCGCGTCAAACGTGGAGACGGCAATGGGGTGCAAAGGAAGAAAATGAAGAGCAGCATGGCTTTAATTCGATTTAACCGACCCTTAATCCAAAATGACCAACCCTATATCCAAAATTGAGCTCTTATTGAGCTGCCGGAACAGCAATAGGTACATGTCCGTACCTTCTGCATGCACGTGGGGATGGTATCAGCGGGGCGCCATTCCTTCACCGTAAGAGGCGGAGACCCTAGACCGACTTCCAAAGCTCGATTGCTCGTCGACCAAGCTTGTCTGTACCGAACCGAATACCGTGCCGTGGTGTTCCGTGAGAGGCGGAGAGATGGCACCCCCCTTGACCGACTTCCAAAGCTCGATTGCTCTACGACCGAGCTTGTCTGTACCGTACCGTATACCGTACCGTGGTATTCCGTGAGAGGCGGAGAGATTGCATCCCCCCAGGCCGACTTTCAAAGCTCGATTACTTCACAACCAATGGGGTGCGGAAAGAGCCATATACAGCACGTCCACCGAAAGAAAGCCCTCGGCGACATGTTTCCAGTACCACCACTTTTGGTGTTAGCACTAGTGCTTGGTCGTGGAGCAATCCAGCTTTGAAAGCCGGTCAGGGGCGGTGCCATCTCTCTGCCTCTTGCGGAATACCACCGTACGGTATACGGTATACGGTACAGTACAGACAGTCTTGGTCGTGGACCAGTCGAGCTTTGAACGTCGGTCTAGGGGGGGTGCCATCTCTCCTCCTATTACGGCAGGTATGTATTGTGTTTTCACTAAACATTCGGAATGGCAGTTGCCACAAAAACTTACCACGCACACAAGGTGCGGAAGTTGACAAAAAAAACAATTACCCCGCACACACGGCACGGAAGTTGACGAACCAAAAAAATGCCCCGCACACGGTACGGAAAAAATACCCTGCACACACGGCACGGAACATAACAAAAAAAGCATACCCCGTACAAACATAAAGATTCGGTGGTTCAAGCTCACCTGTCGCAGTATTTGCTTGAAGGCTGCTTCGACGGTGCTGCAATCCTGAGCCCTCAGCACCGCCACCACCTGAGGCCTACAGCACCGCCACGTTTTGTTTTTTTTTTCCCGACAGCACGACAAAGACGCATGGCTTTTTCCCAACGGTACCGAAAAAAAAACAACCAGTGATTGTCATTGCGGTAGAAAATATCACGTTGTTTCAACGGGGAAAAAATAACATGTTATTGTGGTCAATTTCCAACGGAAAAAATGGAAAACTATATTTTTCCTAGAAATTAGGGACCAGTTTCGTTGACTTGTGTGAGTTTCAGAAACCGCAGGAAAATGCCTTCGAAGGCGGGGGACTCAAACTGCAACGGTTGAGACGAAGACCACCTCTGGAAGGGATCGACAAGTGCCGTAGGTTGCGTATGATATCATACCCCCTGATCCAATTTTCAGATGTAAAGAGGGTCGAAATCTGTTGTCACGGACTCGACAATGTTTTTTTTTTTAAGTATTGTTGAGTACCCTCTTATTCCGATACTAGAGGGGCATCCGATATTTAAGAGGGTCGAGGGTCTTCGTCACACTACCCTCTAATATTCGAAGCCCCGACAGCCCAAAGACCACCACACCACCAAAAAACCAGCGAAAAAGAAAAAAAGACGCTAGCAATCACTGCCCCCTCCCCTGAAAGGAACCATGTATGCACACATAATACAAGAGGAACACCAAAAATTTTGACACTATCCAACAACACAGAAAAAAACGTCCACCATTGTGCTGAATTCATTACGTGTGGGGTCTCTCTTACTTCAACTAATTAATTTCCTAAAGCACAGCATTATCTTTGTTTATCTCTCACCGCCGTCTCCCGCCCAATTCCCCGTCGCCCCTCTCCAGACCCTCCTTGATGTGCTGGACGGCGGACCTCCGATCCCCCAGCTGGAGACCTGTAATGTTTTTTTCGGTTAACCGACACGAGACGAAGAGTAACCCTAATCCTAACCCTAACCCTAACGCTAACCTTGACCCTAACCGACACGAAACCAAGAGGCGCAAGCTACCTACCGTAGGTTGCACAAGACACCCCCTGCTGTAACGATTGTCAAAGCTCCATTCCTCCACGACCAAGAGGATGCCGAAAAAACCAAAGGATACATTTTCGGAAAGCTCTCGACCAGACGGTTCAACGCCGGCATCTTCTTCACCTTCGCTGCCTCTCCTGCCGAGAGATCGAGCTCCGAAAATCGGGCCGGGGGGTGTGATATCTTACGTATGCAACTTACGGCGGTATCATCTGCCGCGCTGACCGGCTGACCAATGAAAAGACGTCCGTCTCAGTGTGGTTCAAGGCAGAACAAGACTCAAAAGTTTTTTTTTCTTCTTATTAATGGAGTTACAACAAATCCGTCTATATCCATAGAAAAAGGGTCCAGGATAAGTCGGTAATGAATTCATACCTGTACCACTAGCTGAACACCAGTTATTCTTTCTGTTTTAAACCCTGACTCACCTGCGTCAACAACAGCCAGAGGAACTAGGTCGCTCTCCCCGACATGCTTCGCACCGCCCCCCTCCCCGTCGCGAAAACGCCACCCTGAAAAATAGGAGGAGGGTCGCCGAACATGAAACCGTAAAATTGCATGCGCGTCAGGGTGCATCACGGGTAGGTTTAGGTACCCAGCAGTATACTGAACTACAACGTAGTCCCGTCGTCACACACATAACCGAGCATTTACACCTGTGTATGTGTTTTTTTTTTCTCCCATCATTGGATTCTGTCGTCTGCCCCTCTGGCCCCTATCCTACACTTCTACCAGCTAGACGACCCAACCGGGGTGACATAGGAGGGGGGGGGTTGGATCCCCTCCTGCGGTTCCTGCCTGAGATATTTTTATCGCGAGAAGGGTACAGCAATCCCTTCCCTCGCGACTTATGAAGTCGATGTGTGTCGGGGTGCGATGCATACCGTGTAGTGTGTGTGTTCGTCCCATCTTTCTGGCGCCGGTTCACAGGCCTTTCGGCGTACATATCTGAGGTATCAGCCGGGGTCACACAACACAATAGGAAGGTCATACAGGAGCTTTTTCACTTTTTCGTTTTGGTTCTTTGCCCCCTCCTTTCCCCCTACGGTGCTTGCCTTCGTTTCACCGCCGTCAAAACCCGAAACCGTCAAGTCACATGTGACACCTTCAAACCACATGTAGTCAGGCTGGGTGTAACAAGGATCGTTGAAGGCACCAGCAGTATTACCTGCCCTGCTCTACCCGGGAGAAGGTGTTCACATCCTTAACGTCGCCGCCAGTGCTTGAAATAAAGTAGCATCTCCCACATCCCGTTCGACTGTGGGTAAATCTCGAACGGGTAGTCTTTCTGTGTATATATATATTTTCCATACTCCATACATATATTCAATTAAATAAGTTTATTCCAGGCATAGAGTAATACATAATTCAATTTCCAAGCCCGTGGGCAGGTTCGTTACAAACCTGTCGTGAAAGGATCTTCCCCCGTGTGGGTGGCCTTCTTACCCCACCAATGGGAACAAAGGATCGTAGTTGTGCGAGATACCATATATGACACAAGATAACACATCCCCTGGTGCAATTTTCAAAGCTCGATTACTCCACGACGAAGAGGATGCATAAACGAAATGACACAAGATAACACACCCCCTGGACCAATTTTCAAAGCTCGATTATGCGACAACGAAGACGATGCATAAATGAAACGATACATTTTCGGAAAGCTCCAGACGAGACAGCTTCAACTCCACCGTTTTCCGCGCTGCAACTCTTTTTGCTGTCGAGAAACGAGATTTGAAAATCGGTCCAGGGGGTGTGTTATCTTGTGTCATATACGGAATGTCGCACGCACCCCTTCGGACCGACTTTCTGTGCACGCTCGCACTTCATGCTTGCTTTGGTCAGGTTGGGTCGCAGGACAGCATGCCTACACCTACCGCGTGCCCGTCCGAGGTGATTCCTGTTCCGGCAGAACTATCGCCGGCATTGCTCCGTAGTCTAGACAGCAACGTCGTGCAGAGGAAGACAGTATGCTACGGGATAGCTCGATTGACTGCTCGTCGTGCAGAGGAAGACAGTATGCTACGGGATAGCTCGATTGACTGCTCCACAACCGAGAGTGTGCCAAAATGGAAAGCATCCGACGAGAACATCTTTTCCAAAACCACCTTCGACGAAATTATGACTCGGTCATTCGATGTCACACCTTCCGGACCGCTTTTCGAAGCTGGATATCCGAGACGGTACAGATAAGGCGGGCGTTGGAATCGTCTCGTCGAGAGCTTTCCAAAAACGAATACGTCAAGTTCGGCATCTTCTTCGTCGTGGAGAAATCGGAAATCGGTCCAAGGGGTGTGATATGTCACCGACTAAGGTGTACCCTTCATAGGGTAGTTGGCTTGTGGCCACGGACAGCGTCCGCACAAGTTGGCACGTACTGAGGGGAGACCGGAACGGGTTCTTGACACCAACAGATACGACACAAGTCGATGGTAGCAACAACGATCAATAGAAGACAATTACGACGACAACGACAGCAATCGACAACAATGACAGCGTAGCATTAAAAACAGGGGGGATTGAAAGAAGAGAGCGAAACAACAAACAAAAAACAACAACAACAACAACAACAACAACAACAACAACAACAACAACAACCTCGGATATCAACACACCTGCGATATAACCGGAGACACTTCGAATGCAGTCCGTGCCGGCCTCTTTTACAGCCTCTTCGACGCACTCCTTGACGATGTTCAGGCACTCCCGCAGGCCTTCCGTTCTCGCCAAACGCACTTCCTCCAACTACAAAAAAAAAAAAATGCACCCGCAGCGGTCATCGTTGTCGACAAAATAAGTTGGCAACGTCAGGGGCGTTTTGCGGTAGACCATCTGCAACCTGAGGGGTCTTGACTAAATCAATACGGCACATGTTGTCGATACGGCCTGTTGCAGTCCTCGCCAACCGCATTCCTCTAGCTGCAAACAACAGTTGGTGCAACTTCGCGGCTTTTTTCGGAAGACCATCGGCAACCCGAGGGGTTTTCGTCGAGATCAATATCTTGTACGTGCTGAATAAACAAAGCACATGTTGTCCATAAGGATCTCACACAGCAGTCCTTGCCAACCGCCCCTCCTACAACTGAAAAAAGAAATCGCACCCGCTTGTGTCAATCTTGCCGAATGTGGTCAATTTTGTCGATACACGATCTCTGACGGTTAATGTTCAGACAATCCCGCACGCCTTCCTCGCCAACCGCTCCTTCTACAATTGCCAAAAATCGCATTCGTATTCAGAAGTTACTTGGGTAAAAAGAAGTACGCTTTGATTCGAGACTCGGCGATTTTGGTTGCGCTGAGCTCGGCGAGACGTCCCTCACCCAACCGATAACATTAAGTCATTTCACGTGTTCTCCCCCGCCAGACCCGGCTCCCTTCCACCCCCCACATAGATAGTCTTGTCGAAAGTCGCAGCTCCTCCAGCTGCAAAAAAAATCGCACCGCTTTAGTCACTTTGTCGATAGCCACATAATGTTGTCGATATGATCTCTTAGGTCAATATTGTCAATACGATCTGTCACAGTCCTCGCCAATCACAACTCCTCCAACTGCAACTGCAACAACATCGCACCTGCTCTAGCCAATTTTGTCGACAGTAAGAGAACGTTGTCGATACGATCTCTTACAGTCCTCGCCAACCGCATCTCCTCCAACTGCAAAAATACCGCAAAGCTGTACTTAGCCAATATTGCCGATAGCTATACCGTGGTACAGTAGAGGTCCCTCTTTAGTGCCGGTGTCCGGTTTAGTGCCGGTGAATGTCGGCGCACACCCCGGCACTAAACAGGGACCTCTACTGTAGTACATAACGTTGTCGACACGATCTCTGATAAGGATCTAGCACGGCAGAGCTCGCCAACCGCAGCTCTTCCAACAGAAACTGGAAAAACATCGCACCCACGTTTTCCAGTGTTGTCGACAGCAAGATAACACTGTCGGTCAATTGTGTCGGATGTAATTAATGTTGTCGATACGATCTCTTACAGTCCTCGCAGCGAAAATACCGCACTGCTACATAACGTTGTCGATTACGATTTTTTATGGAGAACAATGTTGTCGACAAGGATCTCTGACAGCAGTCCTCGCCAACCGCATCTCCCCCAAGTGCAGCAAAAATCGCACCGCGCTAGCCAACTTGGTCTATAGCAACATAACGTTGTCGGTATGATCTAGTGCAGTCCTCGCAGCTCTTCCCACTGCAAACAATCGCTGAGTACCGAATACGACACAAGATAACACACCCCCTGGACCGATATTCAAAGTTTGATTTCTCAACAGCGGAAGGAGTCACAGCGCCGAAAAAGGTGGCGTTGAAACCGTCTCTTCGGGAGCTCTCCGAAAACGCACCGTCGTAGAGTAATCGAGCTTTGAAAATCAGCCCAGGGGGTGTGCTATCTTGTGTGGTATGCGGTAGGCCTACACAGACTCAAAACTTCCAACATATGTCCTTCGACTGCTGTGGTTTTATCTCGAACGGAAGGTCTTCCTGTGATTGTGTGCACACGATTGAGAAGACGCACAGCTATTAGCCAACGTTTGCCAATCTTGTCGATATCGCCTGCAACAATGACAGCAGCAGCAAACAACAACAACGACAACAATGACAGCGGCGGCAGCAGCAGTAGCAGCAGCAACAACAACACCAACATCAACACCAGCAGCACAACCAACATACCTCTCCCGGATAGCAAGGAGGGAGGATGGCCGAGTGGAGCGAGGACATTTTCGGTTGCCGGTCATCCTCAAACTCCATCATGCCAGGACCCTGACGATGCAAAAACCGGGCGTAGGTGCCATGGCGTTATACTTTCTGAGGTAACAACTCACACCACTGGGGGAACAAATCACACCACAGTCATGGAGTGTGCATACGTTAGATACCGCACCCCTTGAGCCGATTCTGTTTACCTCTATTGCTCCACGACGATTAGTACGAAAAAACTCAAACGATGGCAAGTGCCTTGTCGGCGCCGTCAACTCTGTTTCTTGCTGCAATTTAGTCGAGCTTGGAACATCGGTCTTACGCACACTACGGGTAGCCAAGCCGAAGCGCAGACTACAGAAGCCGATATCAAACCATTTGACAAGGATTAGACTAGTCATCGCTGAGTCTAATGGTTTGATTTCGGCTTCAATACGACACAATTTTTCCTCATTTCTTGTTCAGCTACGGTTTCATGCCCTTTCATTTCATGGCGTGCGGCGCAAACCGAAATTGGTCTTGCACCAACCAATCGAATGATGCATATATACGCGGCTGATCGTAAAAACCCGTCCGCCATGCATTGCGTTCTGGCACACTCCTTGCTCCTTTGGAAAAATGACCAGCAACATGAAAATGAAAAGCTCACCGTCGGTGGTCTGGTCCTTATCCGAAACTGCTGGGGTGCTTGACCTCCGCCCCCCCCTCCCATGCCGGTCATCACATGCATGGCGCTCATTGCAAGGGGCGGGTGATGCACAAGTGGACGTAGGAGTAGCCTTGTGTAAGGGGTCGGTAATGACCAAGAAGTCCCAGAGTGGACGTAGGAGTAGCCTTGTGGGGAGCGATGCGGTGAAAATCAGAGCGGAGAGCGAAGGTCGTGACTCGGGGGGCAAGGTTCATGCCGGCCATCGCACCCATGACGCTCGTTGTGAAGGGGTGGTTGAGCTTCGACAATCTCTCCAGGGCATGTGCTACCTTGTGTCACGTTTACGGTAAATCACGGCCGCAAGTGTTGGGACAAGGATATCCTGCGAGTCCACCCGGATCGCGGTCAACTCATGTCATACCATCGCGAAGAGGGTACTAGATCACGTCGCTGTTTTTCCTTCCGAGTAATCTATATCTGAAGATCGGTCCAGGGGGTTGTTGTTGATCTTTTTGTCTTCACATTAGAAACCGTTCCGGTCTCCGCTCACCTTCTACTGTCTGTACTGGTACTGGTCCAACTGACGCGGACGCCTTCCGTGGTCACAAGCCGACTGCCCGACCAAAGGGGGGGTACACCTTTCATAGAAAGGAAAAAAAAAAAAAAGTGTGACATCTTTCGCAACCTACGGTAGGTTTATGCTACGAATGACCGCTATATAGGCGATAATTTAGGGGTTCTTGGCCTGGCTCACCAAAATGGTGCTCAAGTTTTGTTATGTTCGATGCAAAGTTGAGAATAAAGTTCTTGACTGCCAACTTTACAAGTGCAGGGCAGCTGTAGCCTTACAGGCTGGACATCCAGCCGGACCGCTTGCTATTCAAACAGCCAACAAGCAGTGCTGTTTGTAGAAATCTTAGGAGCTTGATTCAATAGTAGGTGGCGGCTACTATGTAAGAGAAAGTACTGATTGAAGAGAGTCCAACTGCCTTGTGACGACCATGAGAAACACATCTATTTCACAGCAGCACGGTTTAAGAGTAAACCGGATTTGAGGGAGAAATAATGGCTTGTCCCAACCCTCTCCTAAACCGTAGCCGCCACTGCTGTAGTTTGATGTTTCGAAGTGCGGATCCCCGCTCTGTGTAGTTGGCCCATGGTAATGAACTGCATCCGGGTCAGTTGTTCGACGGGATACGGATGGAAAAAGGTACTGAGCAGATCAGTTTCTACCGTGCAGACGAAGAGCACCGACAGCAACACAAACGACAACAACAACAACAACAACAGCAGTGGACTACATATCTCGCCCGCCATCAACACTCCCACTCTACGCTTTCCCAGGTCACAACCGGTTTCAAGTAGCATTCCTACACAGACTATGCAAGCGTCGTGACAACATTCACACACGGCGGTACCCCGTATGTTACACAAGATATCATACCCCCTGAGCCGATTTACCATGGGTACGTAAAAGTAGTACACCGCCATACAACTCCAAGGCTAGAAATGGAGAAGAGGAGAGAGCGTGGCGCTGCCACCAATCGTGGCATTGGAAACGTCTCGAATAGAGCTTTTCGAAAGCGTATCGTTCGATTTATTCATCCTCGTCGTCCGTGGAGTAGGTAATCGAGATTCGGTCCAGGGAGGGAGTGATATCTTGTGTCACACGCCGTAGCATAGGATGTGCACGCGGGTACAAACGTTCATATCCTTATCTATGTCATTGACCCATGTGTGTTACGATATACCAGCGCGGGCTGCTGAGTGCTCAACACATCTGTCCCGTGAGTAAAATGCGCCGGCAAGCATGCTGCGGTACTGAGAGGCTCGATTCCTTCCCTGGGGCACGAAGAACCCTAAGGAGTACGCGGCAGTGCTGCGGCTGTACAGCACTTTTCTGTTCGACAACAAACCATTTCACTTACCCGTGTGCACCCCAAAAGGAAACCCAAGCTCTGGAACCCGGCGACCCTGGCACCGACAGGCCTTTCCCTCTCCGTTTCTCTGCCTCCCTCTCTCTCTTGGCGCTGTTTCTCTGTCTCTCCCTGCTGAATTTAAATATTGGCAATAGGGGGGGCCATCATACTGGACACATCGTGGGTATGACAGATGAAATTCAAATTTTCCCTTGCTATCTGGCTACCCCCCATTTGAGGCTCCCCGAGGCTCCCACCCACACTCTCTTGCCTCTCACACGTGATACGAAGTACTTCTACAATTTAGCGACCCCTATATTGTCACGATGAAATGTGGCCGCTATTCAGGATATGCCGCTAAACAAACCCGATAAAGACGGCTCGCGATGTATATTCCGTATATGACACAAGATAAACACCCCCTGGACCGATTTTCAAAGCTCGATTACGTCACGACGAAGAGGATGCATAAACGAAGTGATACATTTTCGAAAATCTCTCGGCGAGACGGTTTCAACGCCGCCGTGTTCGGCGCTGTGATTGTTCCTGCAGTTGAGAAATCGAGCTTCGAAAATCGGTCAAGGGGGTGTGTTATCTTGTGTTATATACCGTATATCCGGAGCGAGCCTCTCAATGCGACGGGTCGCTACACACCCGTGCGAGAGCGCCATCCATGCGAATGTCTTGTATACCGCTGCATTCAGTAGTTATACGAAGGTATAAGAACAAGAACCGCAGCTAACGTGGACAACCGAGGGAAGGAGGAGTAGTGCATGATGATTAAACATTAAAATCATAATCAGGAATGATTAAACACGCCCCGACGCACACACACTTTTGGGAGTGACGAAGACGAAGGAAAGGGAACGGCAAGAAAGGAGGACGAAGACGACGATGGAGCAGGAAAACATGGAGGAGTGGAAGAGAGCAAAGGGTTTGAGCCTGAAGACCTTCCCCACAACAAGAAACGTAGGGCTAGGGAAGAACTGCCCAGAGATTCTTCTTGTCAAAATGAGGATCTGAAAGATGGTAGCGAAAACAAGGAGGATACTCAGACTGGTGAAAGTACTCCTAGACGAACTCGAGTACTAGGTAACAGCCTTGGTAGACGGGTGCAGTTTTCTTCTGTTGCTGCTGTTTCTGTTTTTGATCCGAAGGATAGTTTAGCTCCCCCCATGCTGCCCTCTCACGGGGTCCCAGTTCATGATAGATGGAAGTGTTTTGTGTTTTCAACCGCACTAAGACTGACGTCTTTTCATTGGTCAGCTGGTTAGCGCGGTCGATGCTAATAATAATACACACGCACCACGATGAATGGAAATTACAAGGAAGAAGGGGAGATAAAAATCGTCAACATTTACCACCACCCCTTTTGGCCCCAAGCGGCAATGGATCTCGTGCCGCTATCATGTAATGATGATGACGTTTTCTGGGTAGCCAGCTGTCAAACGACCCGTCGGCCGTTGTTTTTTATGAGCTTCAATAATTTGCTAGTGTAACACTTTCAACCGGCAGTGTTTCTCGACGCGTACTACTTCCCCTCGCTCCTCGACAAGCTTTTGCTTAGACATGGGTTGTAGTGAAGGGGGGGGTCTTTCTGGCGAGCAGGGCTAGACTCACCCTCAAGGGATGACC